ATAATAGTATCAAGCCTAACACTAGAATATTATCTAATAATGCTTACTTCTAGTTCCTCTAAAAATGATCTTACAATCGACACTTATAAAAAATAGATTTATACACTATGTTATATTGTATAATAAATATTTAACCATTCTTTAACAGGCATATGTAGTCTGTGCCCTGGGAGGAGCTGGTACAGTAACTCTAAGTTTTTTAAGTTTAGCATCTTTACAAGCCCTTGCTGGTGTAACCTTATCAATGTTGCTAAGACACATTAAAAGATATTTGGTTGTAGGTAGGTAACATATTATCTATATCTTATTCCTCTTGCAATTCATTTTCAGTATTAGAAATTAATCATGGTGTTCCACTTAAAAGTTGTAGGATTTGTATTCCATGCGTGTTTATTGCTGGTCTTGATCACCTGGAGACCATCTGGTGATGATCCAGCACTTTTTCATGTTGTATCTGCTGCCTGGGGAGTTTGCAATTCCATATGGGAAACTCTAATATATAGTGAGTTACATAGTTATATTCGGAACTTAAGGTATTAAAACATTGGGGCAGTACTTAACAATATTTGACATTACTTTTTCATTGCATAATTCAGATATTAGTAATTTATATTTTTTATTTAATCAATTTCATTTTATCTCTAGCACTAGTACTGGGTTTGTATCCAAACTCTTGGCAAGGACCTTTATCAACATCTCTTTTCTGGAGATGGCTTGGTCTTGCCCTTACTCTTGGTTTACATGGACTGGTCTGTACACGATTTCGAGTACTTGGCCTTGCCTGTGTACTACTTCTCTCAGTGGTTCCTTACATATGGTTAGAAATTAGACTAGCTAAAAGAGGAAAAAGTTTAGCACCATTGTGACTGGGAGATCCGGCTACAATTGACCATGGATCAAGTATCAAGACAGAAGCTCGTTATAGAGATTGAGATAAGTTCGTTCCATTCGGCTTAAGAAGGACAAGAAGACATAGAAGCAGGAACCCTTTCGTGGAACACACTGCAACTGCAACTGCAACTGCAACAAAAGGACGCACACAGCGTAGAGCAAACAGTGTTGCTTTTGCTTGCAATGTTGAACAAAATGTAACTACAAAAGAACCAGAACCACAACCTTCCACGTCAAATGCAGATAATCATGGAGCAAGTATTACAAATGAAGAATGTGGTGTTCTTCCTGTGTCTTAAGGCTAAATTTTTAGTAAGTTTTCAATTCTATCTTCCATAACAATTTCAATTTTAACTTTTCAAATAGATATGCATATACAGGGGCGTTCGGCCATTCCTGGGAGAAAATTTAAGGGGTAATTCTCGGAAATTTCTTCAAATGTGTATTCCATTGTGTATTGTACACTACAGTATTCATATACACACGCGCACGTACGAAATGAAAATTGAAAAAATTAAAGAAAAATAAATGAAACCTATATTAAAAGTACACTAAAATATTATAAATTAAATTTAATTGATTATACCAAAGTAAAAGTAGTTAACTTATTACTTTATAACTATAAAATAATGTATAATTTGAAAAAATGAATGAAAATAAGTGCTATTTTCACTTATCGTGTCAAGTAGCTCTTCAAAAGTTAAACTTTCGTTGTCGAAACGATTCTGCCCTTTTGAAGTAAACTGCCGGCCATGTGTCGTTGGCTTTGAATTTTTGAGAATTACTATACCCTCTATGTCCTGGCGTGCCTTATATTTTTAAACGTTAATAACACAAAAACGAAGCTTCAAACGTAATTGTTTTATTCTTCATTTTCGACATCTAGAATCATCCCTTAAATATTCTTCCAGGATTGGCGGAATACCCTGTATAGTTCTCTATTTTGCATACTTACCAGATTTGTTTTTAGTTTATTTTTAAACTATTTAATACTAAAGTGTTTTTGCAAAGGGTTATTATAAATTTTTACATAATGGTAAAATTAAAAAACACAAGAAAAATTGGTAAGAATATATTTATCAGAAATTTGACTGGAAAAAGTCAAATAATTTCTACATACTCTTGAATAAAAGTTATACATCTTCCCTTTATGTTCAAATTAGAGTACATTTCAGTGATTTTATAATACACTTTAATCACAGAAAGTTAAGAAACTGCACACCCAGTCAATAACTTTTGGAGTACATTTGCTCGGTAAAGTCTTTCTTCAAGTTGAATGGAACGAGCATATACATCAAGCCGTAACAAATACTTCATACCACAAAATATAAAAGCTCTTGCGGGCGATTTCTTCTTCCGCTACAGTACGATCGGTTTAATAAATCGATATTGTACAAGACTGAGCGATAGCAGAATATACATAATTAACGACCGAATACACTAATCATAGTAGTAACTCTCTGACAAATCATTTAACTGACGTTCAAGCGTCGAAACGTACCTGATGTCTTTCAAACCAAATTAATTCTAATCTTGCGGAAAAAGGAGATCGTAAACCACATCTGCCCTGTATCACAGAATCGAAATGAAATACTATAAGACACTTAATGTAAGTATAGTAAAAAGTGTATATAATTATAGTTTTATTATAATTATTATATATTTACCATCAATAACAAAGCTTATCATTCACGCGAGAAACTGATAAATAAGTAAGCGTAAGAAATTCATCGTACAAATGACACGTTTTTAATTACAACAAAAAATCTTTTAATTAAAAAAAAACTTTTCAACAAAGAAAGCTATTATTCGACTTTTACCACGCTAATGCATTGTTATACTGATCACTTACTATAAGCTTCGAAGGGAATCGAATAATTCTAAGTCAATAATCAATTACAAACTTACAAAATTAAAAAAAATAAGAACGGTAATGAAATTTCCTTCCAACGTTTGCAATTTTCCTGTTTTCCATGTTATAAAATTACTATTTATTACGTTTGCAACTGCATTTCAGAGCATTGAATTATAACGTGTTATCCATTCTGTCTTACATATAACGACTAATTAAGTGTAACACATGGAATCATGTAAAGTTACTTGGTATTTATCGTATTTTTTATCACATTATCTTTCATCATATTCATCATATCACGAATATACATTTAGTTATGCTTCTTATAGAATTTTCGTGTATAAAAATTAACTTATATTATGATATTAATAATACAATTGCGTTTTATTACAGATTTTAAAGTAAACAAATTGTAACGATATAAGGAACTTTAAATACAAATTAACACATGTTATCTTGGATATTGTTACAAAATAAAACATCAACATGTTTGATGGTAATTTAGCAGATAGGTATTTATATGAAACATTTCTTAATTTATAAAACCAATGAGAAACAAATAGCCGGACTATTTGTAAATTTCTGAAAAAGATTTTGAATCACAAAATCACCCTTCTTGTTGCCATAATTTCCAACGTATGACTGATAATTTGTATTACTTCGTAATAATGCATTCAAAACAAAGATAACCAATATAAAATTAATTCATGTAATAGTATCATGTTTGTATGTATACCAATATATTTTGCAATCTTGAAATAAATTATATAATTAAGGTCCATGTAAGCAGAGACATTAAAAAAGGAGTACTTTAAGGAGTGTTGGTGAAATGCAAAAGAAAAAATATTGTTAATTGTTACAAACATTAGGACAAGAAACGCTACTTCCAATATAAAAATCTAATATCAAAATCTTCAGCAATAAATTTGCTCATTTTGATTTCAATAAGAAAGATATTCCTGAACAATTGCACCAAACTTACGTAGTTACGGTGAATTCTACAATAATAAATGGAAGCGACTCGTTCATGTCCTAGTATAAGAGTATGGATTTATAAATGGTATTGGAAAGGCATATATTAACTGTATTTCGTGAAATAATAAATATTATCTTATTTTATATCGATCAACGTTTCAATTGATCTTCCTCTTCGACACGTTTATAATCTCAAAATAATGCTTCAACTTATATATATAATAAAGTCTCTAAAAAAAAAAAAAAGAAGCAAATTGCAGAACATTATTATAATCATTTCTCCTGTTTTTCATTTTTAGATTACATTTATGTGAACTACACATAAATCGTTATTAATAACGTTGAGTGAAAAACAACATAGTAAACACTATATTGTATTACTTTCATCATAAATATATTATTCAAACCAAGAAAATTTATTCCCTATAAGTTCGTTCTGGCAGTAAAATGCACGTTCTTCGTATAATTAATGTATTTACTCGTACAATATTGCACGAGGATAATAACTAGTTTTTCACTTTCTCTACTCATTTTTATTAGTCTCGTGTTATTTCCCTATACAAGTCCTACCTCATTCGTGATGACAATTGCGATCCATGGCATATAAGTTTATACTTATAGCATACAAGTTTATAATATTAACTACCTAAATTATTGTCATCATCACGAGACATATAGAAGTTAATTAATGTATCGACATGACAGCCGAACACTAAAATATAACAAATAGAATTATACCTAAATCACTCGCATCCAGCATACCATTAGCTACATAAAAACATTTAGCTATAGCATGTATAACTTTAACAATGCCCCTTTATTCATCGATTAAATTTCCTCTTAGGTTGCAAATATAACATGATTTTTAGGATTTTTGGTTAATCTCAATAAAAATCACACCTTTAAGAAACCACTGTTCTACAAAACATAATACTTCTCTCAATGATTGCGAATACAAACTACATACACATTTCGAACGCAATTACAACGTATAATAACACAAGAGATCATGAAAAATTGTACGTTCGTATATATTATAGAAATTATTTTGATCTCTAAAAAATACTGATGAGAAAATATCGAAGTGTTATTCAACTGCATGGAAATTATCCACCACAGGTCGAATTATTTTCATTGCTAGCGACAAAAGTAACAACATTTTCATCGCATAGTATTATATTTCAACGTTCTCCTTCGAACGTTGAAATATAACGGAAAAATAAGGATTAATGTTGAATTTGTGCAAGCGTCATTTACGTTTCCCTTCGAATAAATGAACTCCAATTGAGTAAAAGCACAGGATACGTCGTATAATATGTAAAACAATTAATTGAAACTGGACAAAAATTTATTGTTTATAAATTATAATGCTTCCTTGGTATTGAGTTTTCTTAAAAAGGAAAATGTTTAAGAATTGTGTATAAGCCATAGTATTAGATGGGACGCATCGTTAAACAGCGCCTTATGTCGATAATTATCATTATCTCAACCATTAAGAAAAGCAATATTAGACTGAAGCAAAGTAAATTAAAAACTTATACAACGTCATTAATTATTACATATTTTTTCAATTCCAAGTTTCCCAGTTCAGCACTGCTTCAGCCCAACATTACTTAACTTTTGTTTAACATGCGTAGTAATTCCACAAAAAATGGCTCTCACGTTATCATTCGAACCTGAAATTTAACAAAATATTCACAAATATTTCCAAACGTGTACTTATCAACAAATTACAGGAGCCATTTTACTAAAATAATTCGCAAACACTTCTGATCAAACAAACTCGATTATGGCTTGTAATTTGCCAATACTATCAACTTTGGTAATATCCGTTGCCTGGTAACTACGCACAAAGTACATATTATGGAACTAGTAGCGAATGTTCATCCCACACGAGTATTTTACTTAGTTAAATACAGCACACGCTATATCAATTTAATTTGCATAGTTTCGTATGGAAATGATATACTTTCAAACGATAGTAAAGTACGTATGTTAACAAATATTTAAACACATTTGCTATAAATAATCGTGCACACACGCACAACGAGATTCTTAAATAAAATATAAAACACAGAATGAGTACGTTTCAGACAAAGATATATTTGTTTCAATTAGAAATTTATCAACTGAGTTTAGAATTACTTCGTAGAAACTTCTTGTGAAAAAAGGAACAATATATTAAAGGTCATTTACGAATTCGATTAATTAATGATAAATTTCGTATATCAATTTTCTTTGTAAAAAAGAATCATTATTAAAAAATATACATGTTCAATATAGTGTTCGAATGTCAAATTGAACACGATATTCATTAACAAAGCATAAAATGTGCTCCCTATTTATAAAAGTCATAGCGCGGTCACTGAGAAAGAGCCTACGATTAACGGACATAACGAGCAATGAACATAGTTCTACCACATGGTGCGATATTGAGCAGTTTGCACTTGATAATATTCACACTAAGGCAATTTTGTATAATGAATAACACTGCATATACTTCCATTCACACACGCGCGCGCATTGCTCGGCGTACCACAAGTCTTTCTTTTTTTTAATAATTTACAATCACTACTTAAGTTTGATACTTAAAATCTGTCTGTGCAAACGAAACAACAAGCTGCTCAGACGGGAGTATAGTTTCCCTTCGGTTTGTAGAATATCTGCCCACTCACGAAGCGCCTCATAATTTCGGATAGCAAAAGACGTTTCTCTTTCTTAATCTTCTTAAGTATACCTCGATTCTCTTGTGCACGTCGAGAAAGATATGGTAATACTTCTTTGACTGGACCATAAGGAATATATTTGTACGCTGAGTATCCAGATTGACCTAAAGTTTTTATGATTTAATAATTAGTAAATCAAATTCAGGTTAATTGTATTCAAATATTCTTCCTAAATTAAATTGTGTTGTTACATAAGAAAAATAGAACCATACCTAATGGAAATGTTATGTAGTCACACATTCCCAACAACTGGCCAAAACAGATGACTTTATCCTCTGGTGAGATTCCTATTTCCTTCATTCTATTTTACCACAACACATTTATAATAACAGTCTGAATAATTACTTAATATGTAGTATGTCCAATTTATGTCTATACACGTAATTATTTCTCAAGCTATCAAAAGTATAAAAAACTTATTTAAAATTACCTTCAAAAAATCGTGTGTACACATTTAAACCAGACATACATATTATATAAAATACACAGAAAATATCCAGCAGTACGTACTTTTCAATCGCAAAACGTACTGTGTCCTCGTTATGGGATGCAACCATAATTCCTATTTTCTTCGGATCTTCCCCTTTGTCTTTGTACTGTTTCATCCGCCTTAAGCACTCCATCAGAGTTCTATGATAAGATTCGGTTGTAGCGTCAAAGGTAGGATTCGTTGGATCAGGATAACCCATCGCCGCTGCTCTCGCCCTCTCCTACATTAACAATTCAGAGCTTTATAGTGAATTTCCAAGTAACAATAATGGATTTTGAATTTCTCAATTAAGGAATTACCTGTTCGATGTACGCGCCACGGACAAGTTTAGCACCGAAGTAGAAGTTTTGACGTTCCGCCTGTTCTAGATCCGTTTTCACTTCATTATAAGCTTCTTGCAAGTATGTCTGGTAAGTGTTGAACACCACGGCCTAGGAAGTAGACCATTTGGGTTTAGACCACTGAAAATTTACTAAGTGATAATATCGCATCTACGGAAGCAAAGCATTTACCTTACGTGTATTGTACTTGCGCATCATCTCCAACGTTAACCGCGAAATCGCAGGTTGGAAATACGTTTGTTCGGCATCTATCATTATACGTACGTCTAATTTATCGGCCACCTAGAATGAAAGTTAGCAATTCTGTCTTTGCTAACGAACTAAATCTCTTCGTTATGCATTCTATATACACACGTGGTGGAAGAATCGAGAATTTTTAATATACAGGGTGTCCTGTAAACCAGGATAACTGGTTTTCATAGTTTTCAAACTATTAGACACAGAAAAATAATTTAATTTTATATTCTTTATATTCCTACAGCGCTACTATGAACTTATTTTCGAAGAAAACTGAATCGGTATTTTAGCAATGCAAGAAACGTCGGTTTTTATGCGATCACTGAAATTACGCTGCGTGTGTATGACTACATTTAAATGGATATCTATTATACGTTGATAATAATCATTGAAACGACTCGCCCAGACACCCCGTATTTCTTTGTTATTCCACTTTTATGTATTCATACCGTAACGATATTATTGAGACGCCTTATCATGTTCCTGAACATTTCTTCCTCTTTGGATGTGAGCTGCGACATAAGCCTCACCATCTTTCCCGTTTTAATATCTGGTACTTGGAACGTTTCGCTGAGCTCGTAGTTCTCGTCTAGAATTCCACTCCATGGGAACAAGTGAATGACACTGAAAACAGAAAAAAAATTTCATCCTTTAATTTTCAAACTTACAAAATTACAAATATTAAGTATTATTGGTAAGAGAATGATTTCCTTGCAAGGTAATTTTCAAAGATAATTTTCTTAAATTACCCCTCTTTATCCGATTGAATCTTTTGAAGAAACTTTTGCACTTGCGCCACGTCTTCAATACGTGCATGCTCGAATTTTTTCATGAAGTCATCAGGCTTGGCGTGATGAGTTAAGACGGCACCTTCACCACCAACTACATCCGACATGTATTGTCGGGCTCGCATAATTACTTCCGATAATTGAAGCTAAAAATAACAAAATGTGCCATTATTTACTGCAATCATAGATATGTAACAAATAAAATCTTCAATCAATGTTTAAAAGAGTTAAATATGAATTGTGTGTGATATTATGTGTTATGCGATACTTAAAATTAATCTTAAAAATTACTTATACATTACAATAATTATATTATAAATATACGAATATAAATCAATATGATTATTAATTTATTATTATTGACTCGATCATTATGATTAATTTTTACGTGTAATTTTTATTTTTAAAATAGTTACCGATATTGTTGTTAACAATCTTTCAAAATAAAAAGAGAAAAATTGAAATTTAATAAATCAAGCATAAAATCGATAGAAAATATAGAAATATAAGAATCTGTTGAAGTAATATAATTACAAAAAGTTGAATACTAACTTTTGTGATATTTAACTATAATACAAAATAGGTAAAAATAATATGAAAGATAGTAATTTATCTTCAATTATGAGGGAAATGTATATACTTACCAAAAGCTGTGGACGGCCAAGGGCAGTTAATTTGATAGCAGTGAAGCCAACACCCATTGAAGCAGCTGCACAAAAACGTGTCAATGTAACAACTTTCGTTAAAATATATGAAACACGTTAAAATTGAAAAAGAAAGATCAGACCATCGCAGAAGTGGAATAATGGATAAAATAAAGGGCAAAACAAGGGAAGAAAATAGGAGGTGGAAGTTCTACTCTTACCAATGACCTCAATTTCAGAATCAGTTGTAACTTGGAATTCAAGGATTTTTAGGTTCAGGACTTGCAATTGATCCTCTGCAAAAATGTCAATAATCAACAATTAGTTCACACAGTATTGTCTTATAAATAACCTAAGCATTGTTTAGTTCATATTTTGGATAGTACAGAGCAGTCTATACGTCCTTAGTCATTTGAACACGTAAAATGGTGATTTTCTAAAGCATCCCTTTAAACAAATTTGCGTCATGGGAAAAAATGTCAGAGAATTATTTTGCCCAAAAGTGGTGTCACGTTATTCGAGTGAATTAAAAATCTTTAGGTCGATCCAAAGCACCGTTATGTCACGTTATTTGGTCGCATAGCTGAATACCAAGATTCTCTAGTGGAGGGTTATTTATAGGCGGTACGTTTTCGTGGTCTTGACTTCTTGCAAAATTTCAGAAGTCTAAAAATTTGACTCGCCACTGTATCAAATCACAAATCAACCTTCAGAATTTCCATTAATCAACGTGCGTGTTACATGTACATTAAACAACAACGAACCGTTTAACGCAAAAAGAAACAAACTTAGAATTTTTCTTTCGATTAACTTGAAATTTGATTGTCAAGAATACATGGAGTATTATCAAACTTTGCATTACTACGGTAAATCCGATAAATATGTTTCAGAGATTTTTGTAAATACCGAAATGATTAGAGGTCTAGTTTTAGCTGTTTCTATTTCCCTCTCGCGCAACTGTCCAATTTTGGTGCTGGTTTCGAACGTTCGAGAACACGTTCGCGTCTCTCGTTCTACATACATACGTGAATACTAATCTCAAGTACACTTGGTCCATTCATCGGGAATAATACGATTCCGAATAATGCGACAGTCAACAGTACTGAATATGATTTACAAAGCACAGCAACAAGTCTCATTAGTCACATCGCGTTTTTCTTTCGGATTATCGAACGTGTACGATATTCGAAATTTTCCACCGGATATCTTACGTTACAGTCATTCACAAATTGTCCATAAAACGTTGCACGTGATAAACGTTAATCTCGAGAATTAACAACGTTAGCTAATTTACGCGATCGATCTTGAAATGTCTGGTACACGTGTTCCGGAAGAATGTCGCTTTTGATGAATAATCGTTTACAAGTGGAGTTTAGAAGATAAAGGAAAAGAAGTATGTTACTATTTGCCTCGTTGTCAGAAACGTTGCAAGTATTGTTAAGGTGAAAATTAGAGGACTGAAACATTTACGTGATTTTTCTTTTCAGGGTAATCAGAATCAGTATTTTCTTTCAAATAGAACTGTGTTCTTTTTCTATACAAGAATATTAATTCTTCTTTAGGAAAATTTACCAACTAACAGCGCATACTTATTTCATTATCGTATTACATGTATTCTATATAAAATAATGAAATTGTAGAATGAATCTTTAAGTAAATCCCTTTACAGAAGAGTGTTTCGTATAAGCTAATTTTGCCTTTGCTTTTCAGAATATAATCAATATTTTAGTAGTTACTTTAAAAGTAAAGTATGAGAATATTTTCAACAGTCAAACAGAACTATTTAGTCCATGGATTTTCGTTGGATATATTTTTCATCTTGTGTAGAAAAATACATAATTCCATCTGAAAAATATAAGTGATCTTAATTATTCCAAGAAAAAATGAAAGTGCGAAGAACTACATACATAGATATGTTTTCCATTCATTCACGTTATACCATTTACCACTTATCTTCAGCATTTTGAGTGTCTTAATTAATAAAGAGGTTGATTAAGTATTTCGTTTGCGTAAAATTATCTTTTACATGGACTAAAATAATTAATTACACTATAACTCTAAAAGAAGTCATATGTGTACATATGTAAAATATCAGGAATCAAAAAAATTCTATTCATCAAGTGCTTTTGGACAAGATTTTTCTACGTTTCTTTTTTCTTTTTTTATTAAATATCTACAGAAACCTAAATGCGTAAAAGTACTGTATACCTTAACGAGGTTTAACTCACTTAAAAAATCATTCTCTGTAATGTTAATGTATTATACAACTTTCTATATATACAAAGGGAAGCAATGAATCTAAGAATACCTTGAATTTTGTAAAGTTTCAATTGACTCACCAGCTACAGACTCGAGGCACCGAATAAATATGTCCATGTTTCGTTCGCAATTGGCTTCATTAAGGTAGAAGTACGTTCTTGCTGAGGATACTTTGTATCGTCGATCGGCGAACGGTTTTGCTACATGGTACTTCTTCAGAGGTCCTTCTCTCTTCTCATCTCCAGCTTCTGACACGGAACTCCTGCAAATTATAACTCGTGTTACAATTTTCAAACTTTTACACATACATTTCTCTGCAATATAAATTAATGAACTTCGATCATCTTAAAGTCATCTTGATCATCTTACATATATATTTTTATATAGTAAATCAATATTTAACTCGATTGAAAATGACTTATAATATTTAAGATGATCCAAGTTAATTAACACTTCTATATACCAGGTGGGTCACCTAAGACTGAAAGCTGAAATATTTTCAGAACTGTTAATCCTATCGAAAAAAGCTTCGAACAAAAGTTTGAGGGTCGAGTTTGTTTTTTTAAATAAAGATTTCAACTGGATATTCTCTGCAAAAAGGTATACTGAATAACCATTAGTTTAGAAGATATTTTAACTTCAATCTTGTAAAACCTACCGTGCAAATGATAAGGAAAGATTTGAAACAGTATAATGGAGACGAGGACAACATAAACACAAGAATACCACTTTTCTCGTCTTTCTTACTATAAATTTGACAAAACTGAAGTTCGAATATCTCCTAAACTGATCGTTTCTCGATATAAATGGTTTAATACATTTTTATAGAGAATTATTAGCTGAATCGATTGGTGCATTACAAAATATACGATTCCATTTAGGGAAACAAAGTTGACCTTCGTATGTCCTCTAAAAATCCTAATCATATCAAGCCTTCTTCGATATGATTAACAGTTCTGAATATATTTCAGCTTCCAGTCTTAGGTGACCCACCCGGTATATTATGTACATAATTAAAATGATCAATTAAAATATTTAGAAGATCACTCGTATAATAATGATAATATCGTTAAAATTGCAAGTATTATAAAAGTAACTGAACTTACTTTTGAATTGAAATATTTAACGAAATAATTAATGTAAATAATTGTAATAATTTCAGTACGTAAAATTGGAAATATTAATGATATTAAATAAATGGAGTCGAAAATGGTGTAACGGTACAAGACGAAAAGAAGTAAATGATGTGAGACGATTTTTCACACAGCCATTAGATAAAAATTAATTAATTTAACAACCAGCTTGCTCTTTATTAATGCCAATCTCGTAAATAATTCATCCTGTACCCTATAATCCCTCCACATTTTCATATTAATTTACATATTTACATTCATACTTCGTATTAACATATTTTCGTATTCGTTTTCATAAAAAAATCTTACTACGTCGATTTGTCTTATAATGGCATTTATGCAAGTTGTACTACACCAATCACTTAACCGACACCTTGAAGCTAATAATAGGACGCAAGCCAATTTATTCGAATTGGATTAAAATAATGGAAAAGCACCTTGTCAGTAGAGAAATTGATTAGATTGTCTGTTAATTTGTCCTCTACCATGATATACATATTAGAAATTATTATAATTCTTGTACTTCGAGTTATTTTAAACACTTTCTTCTTTTTCTTCACCAATACAGGAAATAGCGATCTGAACAGTTATCTTGTTACTACATATCGAAGATATACTCATTACAGATCACACATTTTGTCTGGCTTGTATTTGAAACAGCAGAACCGTATTTACCATAAGGCGCATTAGGCTCAACCTGGGGCCACACTCTCTATGGGGCCATATTTTAAAACCCAACTCCTCCATTCAATCGGTTTTCAATTTAAATTTGAACTGATTTACTTTTATACTTTTTTTTTTATGCAAACATATCTATACCAATGTTTGTTAATTTCATTTTATTAAAATGTGTTTCTTACGAAAATATCGACTTTTATTTTCAATAAATTTAAGAAGAAAGGTATGAATTTGATTAACTGAAGTAGACTTGTTCTTTTGTATAAATGCGGCCCTGTGAAACAGTATACAGTTCGTTAAAAAAAATAGTAATTGTATTGAACAAAAAAAAAAAGAAAAAGAAAAAGAGTAAGATGGAGTCAGTCTTCAGGGTATGTTATAGATGTGTGAAACAGTGCTGTAGCTATAAGCAGTACTGCCATAAAATGTCAATTTATTACTGCCGTGCATACGCGATATTACATTGATTTGTTGCATGAATCGAAACGTCACAATTATGACACCGGAGAGTGAAGGCACTAATATCTTCGTAGTAATCCTGTACAGTACTCGTATTCTAACATTAGTCATAATAAACCGATATGATTTCAACGATATTAATAAATATAAAATTGATGTGAAATGAATTATAATGCATCAGAAATGAAAACACACAAATGTACTAGAAATTCGTATAAATTGAAAATTTATGTACATTACACACTGTATACATCAGTAGACATAAATAATTTCTTACTGATTATCTGGATTGTTATTATTTGTTTTGAAATGTTTATACAATAAAGTACCTTACTTTAGAAAATCTTAGAAAATATAGTAAATACTTTACATTAAAATTCTGTTTTATTTAAATGAAAGTAACGTTAAACTGACAAATAATTGTGTTCTCAAACTTTCTACTATCTATTAGACACAGTGACCTTAACAATCGTTTTGCATCGTTCTTTAGCTGGATAAAAGCTTTATATACATACTTTTCACCTGTTCTTTTTCAAAGTACCTATCGTTTATATACTTCTTTGATATATATTGACATAATTAAGTAATACAGTAAATTCTCCACAAGTGTCAGTCCGCAAGGAATCTAAACCTGACACTTGTAGAGTCAGGGACTACGTTTTCGAGCCTCGCGCCCGCCTTTGTAGTTTGCCGAACGTAGACAAGGACAGCGAATAAAAGATAAGGTGAAACGTGAGTCGAGGCAACCAAGCGATTTAAACACCAACTTTTTTAATTTTACCTTTTTTTATCCCGAAATTTTTCTTAACATATTGATGAGATTTTTCTGATGAAAATGACATCAAACACGACATAATTTGAACAACATTTACTTATTAACACGTTCACTATCACGCCAGATATTTCACTGTATTGAGATAAAACAGACGCCCTGTATTACATTACATAGAGTCGGCCTACCGTTTGACTGCCAGGTGGAGAATTGGCCTGCCGTTTGACTGACACTTGTAGAGTCGGCCCTGCATTTGACTGACACTTGTAGAATCGGCCCTACATTTGGCTGACACTTGTAGAATCGTTACATAGAGTCGGCCTACCGTTTGACTGCCAGTTGGAGAATTGGCCTGCCGTTTGACTGACACCTGTAGAATCGGGTCAGAAAAATCTCAGCAACATGTTAAAAAAAATTTCAGATGAAAAAAAGTAAAATTAAAGAAATCATATTTTTCGTGAAATCTCGTAAAAGAAACCGAGTGGTGTAGCGTTACACGCTTTGACTGACAGCGAGCGAGATAACATAGGCGCAGCAATGACACAGGCCTATGCGTAGGACCAAACTGACTGACACTTGTAGAATCCAAACTGACTGACACTTGTAGAGAATTTACTGTATTAGGTCTACGCAAAAGTTTCCATCGCTCGTAAATCGATGGCACTGAAAGCCACTGTACTCTTCTTTATCAGAAAAATCTCAGCAACATGTTAAAAAAAATTTCAGATGAAAAAAGTAAAATTAAAGAAATCATATTTTTCGTGAAATCTCGTAAAAGAAATCGAGTGGTGTAGCGTTACACGCTTTGACTGACAGCGAGCGAGGATAACATAGGCGTAGGATCATCTATACTGACACTTGTAGAATCCAAACTGACTGACACTTGTAGAAAATTTACTGTATTAGGTCTACGCAAAAGTTTCCATCGCTCGTAAATCGATGGCACTGAAAGCCACTGTACTCTTCTTCCTTATTTAAATTTTTCGTATTTATACCGAATATAGTATCAATATTATCTTATTACTATTCTTACGTCAAATAATCATATATATCGTGAAAAATAAATGCACATTCTTAAAAAAATAAAAAAATACGATGGAAACTTTTGCACAAACGTAATACTTAGCATAGCGAATTAGGCTGTGGCAAGTTGATCAATGCTAAAACATACTGTATTTCTCGTCGTTCCGCCTCTTCCTGAGAGATATCCTCCTCGACAGAATAATCAAGAATGGGTTTCACTCCAAATTGACGCAACCTGTCCAGGACAGGAGTGATCTGCACCTCATCTTCGCCAGCGACAAAGTGACCATAAAATGTAGCTTTCATAAGCTTCGTGAAAAGTTTCTCGCCAAGTATCTGCTTGGCCAATTTCATCAGCTGAAACAAATGGAATGAGCACATTTAGCAAACGCGCACTAAACGACAAACTAATTAAAGAAGTTCTTAAAGGTAAATGTAATGAGGCATTTCTAAATGATTTTAGTTTACTTGAACACTGTACAACGTTTAACAAGAGGTAACGATAGAATTTTCGAGTTTTTACAAATTTTATCAATAAGTGATAAACAAGGGTAACATTTACCCTTTCTTATTTTTTTTTTTTCATTTTTACACAAATAAATATCAGCAAACTTCAGATACATAAATTTAGATAAAATGTGATAGATCTTCGACAATTGTGATGATTATGGAAGTGGCCTAAGTCGTATATTTTTCGTTTCGAGATATTTAGAATTTTCCTTTTAGGTGTATTAACAAATACCTTTTCATTACGTGATCAAATACTTCACAAAGTATTATCTCTTACAATATAACTGTTTTCTATGAAAAGATCGACGCAACGCAAAATAAATGATAAATTCAATTTTTTTAGATATTTGACTTACAATTAGACCACTTTCATAATCACCAACACAATTTCATATATTTCGACACTTATTTTTGAATATTTCGAAAATACAATTTCTATTCCAAACACTTTTTCAAACATTTAACGTCAGGTATTAATGTAAGAATTGTCTCTTTGTTGTTAAATCGTTAGTCATCGTTGGTTATTTTTAACAAAAGCATGGAAATAGAAGCCTAATGACAAAATCTGGCGAACGGTTTGGTCACGAAATAAATCTACTACGTCCCGCCCATTCATCAACGAATCACGATGCTTGAAACTGGACGCTCGTTTCTCTAGTAAGATGTGATCGAGGTAACGTTCTACTTACTAGTTCTCTCACAAACTTTCCGAGTTAATCATTGTTAGGACAGCAAGGGGACGATTTTATGATACGTGATTTCTAGTTCAGCAAACCGTTATTTTTAATTTAGCAGACCGGTCTGCAGCCAACATGCGGCAGGTAGAATTTCTCAAATGTTAAAGAATAGGCTATTGTTCAGTCAGTAAGGCAAGGTATCATAAAGTCACCCCCAAAGGGTCTTCGAAACCGATGCAGTTACCGAGGCCTCTCGGTACCTGACCTTTCGAACGAGTCGGAGAGTCAGAGTTGACCTGGCCGGGTTTTCCCCCCTTTATTGTCAAATTTCCATCCAGCAAGGACCAGCTTTGCCGACTTAGCTTAAGACCAGAGAGTGTTAGTACACAGACCATCAGTTACATTAGGAATATTAACCTTTTAGGTACGCCGCGCTCGTCCGCAAGTGGGTACCCCTGGAACGCCTAGCCGCGGATGGCACAAAAACCGTTCATGACGATTCTCTGACACGTGTACTCTTCAACGACAGCTTCGATATTGCCAGGATGCGAAATAAAGCAAAAAACGTATAATACCGTCCAAAATCATGATAGCCACGAAAGTCACTATAGTGTCGTACAATCCAAATTGGTGCTATCCACGAAAGCCACTATAGCGGCGTTCCGTAAAAATAAAGGGTCTCGGAGGAACGCCACTATAGTGGTGTACCGTTCCAATTGATGCCATCCGCGGAAGCCACTATAATGGCGTACCGTATCTAAAAGGTTAAGGATTCAGTCAGACTCTCAACGCAATACATTCAGTCTTCAGACGGCACCTAGTGCAATATTCCAAGTACGCGGGAATTAGTACCCGAGTGCTTAACAATCATCTTTTCAAAGTTTTGACACGTGAATTACTCAAAAACTTAAAAAAAAAAAAATAATTCAGGTAAATTTCATGTTTACTGCATATTGCAAAAATTAACGTATGTAATTTAAAACAGAGTAAAATTTTTGATACTGTTTCATTAAACGAAAAAACTATTTAACATCTTTTTAAATTTCACAATTTCAGCCTCGTGAAAATTTTCAAAGAAGAAGCAAGCAGAACACCTTGGACATAGAGTGATTCTGAGAACCTATCTGAACTATGATTTTTCAAGAAAAAATTCACAAATCTTTTGCCTTCGTAGATGCAGCGGCGCATCTACAGAATGTAATTACAAATTTTTCTGAAAAATTTTCTGTAATAATTTTTTAAACTGACGAGGTAAAAAGTATTTTGCTTAAAAGTGGGTAGTTTGTAAAATATTTTCTACATGTTGCAATGAAAACTTCAAGTCATACTTATTTATTCGTTTCAAGTATCGTACAACCAAAAACTGTATTGTAATCTGTACCTTTGTTTGTTTATATCGAACAATGAAAACAGTGAAATTATGGAAAATGTGTAATTATAAATTATATGAATTATTATAAAATTGCTCTTACTACAATGTTCTGATAAATGTATACGTATGCTAGTAAATGTACATGTTTATTAACCCTTTGCGCTCCAAAGGCGCTGTTATGGCGACATACTTCATTACTCTGGAGAACTTAGAAATGTAAAATTCAAGTTTTTCAATATTACTAAAATAATGCAACTTAAATATTAAAAATCTTTTCTTCCTTAACAAATCTTTATATTTTCAAAAGTTTCACTGCAAAAGTACACTGAAATTGCTATCTAATCTTATCAAAAAATGCTCGGAGTGCAAAGGGTTAATAATAATAAATTTCTTCGTTTTTATCTTCCACTAAATCTTAATGATTACATGCAATTAGTGAATTTTACGCTTTTTCTGCAATATAATAAAGTACCTAGCTTGACGTAATCATATAAATGAACACTTTATAAAATGTTACATGGCAAACACGTTGCTTTATGTTTATTCTCTAACCGCAAAATTCTAGCAGATATTACATATGAGCAAACCGCGGATGTTTATGCACTTAAAGTGTATCGAAATGTGCAAATAATGTATACGAAATATGAAAGTGTAATATATGAACATACGCAAAAGTATAACAACATGTGTAAAAAATGTGTGAGATATGTAATAAGTATATTGAAAATATGCCCTAAACATTATGATTGTAATTTAAATTACAATAAACTACAAGCATTTCTCAATATCTTTCACTTTCTTAGTAAATTTGTTCCAAAGTTCAGTAAATAATTTCACAATATAAATATGCGATACACTTTTGCATACGTTGTTGAAAAAAAAAATACAAAATAAATATGTAGTACATGATTGAAACCCTCTAAAAACAAAACAAATCTTTCGTGTTGAGCAGAAAATTCGTGTCAATTTTTAAGTAAACAAGTATTTAAATTCTATGCTTTCCCAAATAGAACCAATAATTTCTTTACTCTATAAGACCGTTTCTTTTTCTATAACTTTTCGCCGTTTCCTAGCAATTTGGAAATCCCATTTTGTCAAACAGTTTTTAAGAAATTTCTTTTAAGATCGAAATTTTCATCTCTAAATTTTGCAAATCGTTTGTGATCAACTTGTTCTGATAAGCTACCTTCTCTGTAAACATTTGTCGTTTTAGCGATTGTCGGAAATTTACTCTACTTCTTTCTATCTTCAAAATACTATAATTCTGAGAAGAAACTAGCAATTGCAACGAAAATATACGCGAACTTCGTATGTTTTCATTGAGTTTCTTTTTTTTTGTTCTAACGTATTCGAACACTATCTATCAAAAATTGGCAACGAACTTTCTGCTCAACCGAAAATATCCAGATCTCACTTTATTGCCAATGTCCTATAAAAATACGCATTTGCATGGATATCAGTAGTCTGCATACGATAATAATACAACATTCTTCTCAAAATGAAATTCAATCACCAACTGAAACGTTCGTCTCATAGTAGGGCAATGTGATCAATGTACAAGAACATAAAAGCAAATGGTAAATACGAGCTAGTAAATACAGAATATCGACAATTTCTGTCGTACGTGTTCAAATGTTCGCTGCAGCAAAGTAATTTTCTGATATAAAATACGAAGTGCTGTCAAGTGTCAAGTGATGTCAATACGTTAAATAATAGAGACGTGCAAAGAAAAAGAAAAAAGTGAATTACACGATATAATGTTCGCTGCAGCAAAGTAATTTTCTGATATAAAATACGAAGTGCTGTCGTGTAATATTCACTTTCCGACGTTTACGTGTGAACATTTCAATACGTTAAATAATAGAGACGTGCAAAGAAAAAGAAAAAAGTGAATTACACGATACTGCGGAAAATAAAAATTGAAATTCAATCTTGAAAAAATGAATCGTTACACGTACAACCACTAGCTATATAACCCAGGCAGATTTGATTAAACCGGGGGAAGGAAATATTCCTTGTCAAGTTTTCATGCCTGCTCAGAGAAAAAGTACTGCATGACCCGGTTTCTGCTGCAAATTGCTCTGTGTATCTTTCGTTTCACTATTCTGCCAATAAAATTTGTTCTTTCACTTTGTGCACGTATAAAATTGCAGCAAACGCCATGAAACAAAAACACATAACACGATATATAATTCTACATATTTCAACGACAAAAATGTCAGAATAAAAAGTATTACGACAATAATTGATGCACAAAGTGAGAAATTGGATGGCACTTGGAGCACTTCGAATAATAAAAACAATAGGAAACTCAACAACGTGACAGTATAATATAGCAAATAAAATGCGAAATAACAGAGTCGTTTTAACTCGTGACAGTTGACAATCATTTCCCCGTATGATATATTTGTGGTTGGTTATATAACCAACATAAATGTCAACGTAAAAATACGGGACCCGGAAAAAGGCAGCCGTAAAAATTGGCATATTTCTCCTTCGTCGGAATTCGATAGTATACACGGTTCTTACTCAACGTTTACACGAAATCACATTACGAATAACACACATTGTTTTAGCATGGCCGCTGTCACGATAAAAATGCACAATGCAGCGCGGTTAAGTGCCGCAAAAATTAGATATACTGTTAAGACCACGCTTATTGTCTTGGCATATTTCTCCTTCGTCGGAATTCGATAGTATACACGGTTCTTACTCAACGTTTACACGAAATCACATTACGAATAACACACATTGTTTTAGCATGGCCGCTGTCACGATAAAAATGCACGTTGCAGCGC